CGATAGACTTTGACCATCTCAACCCTCTCTACCAAGATCTACTCAATATTGGCGTCCTTGTGCCCGTCAACAAAAAACAGATCCGTTTTACAAGTTGCATCATCTTACGTGTCTGCCTTCAAGCTGTCTGGCCACAACCAGAGAATCGTTTATCAGAGTTCTGATAACCCCCATAGACCTCATAAAATACGGATTACAACACGTTACCCCCCGTACGATCGCCCACGAATTAGTGAAAAACAAGGATGGCCCTGCTGAAGCGAGTTTTCAAGCGGCGCTTTATGCTGCTTTCAATGGTCTGCTTCCCACGGGGATGATCAAACATAATGAGAAATGGGCCGGCTATGAGCTAAAGATATCTCGAGCGGATTTCAGTGGTCCTGTAACACAAGCTGGAAAATATGCCGAACATTTTAAGATCAATATTCATCTCGTTAACTTTTACCCGGACACTTCTTCAACCCCAGTATTTCCAGATACAACAGCCAACATAATTGTAGTGAACGTTAAGTGCAACAAGGATTGCTCACAATTTAAGATTGATTCCTCAAACTCAAACGGTCCTAAGAATGAGTTTATCAATAATCTACTTTCAAACTCAAAGTAGATCGTTTCCATATCTGGTTATGTTATTTGCTTCATCATTCCAGCTTTTCGCCTCCTTGACAGAATTATTCAATTTTCATGGTAGCTTTTCTAAATTAGGTGCACAAACACATCGGCATTAATAGAATAGTGCCTCAATTCATTGCATTGTTTATGCTTTTCTTTTCATTATATTTCACTTCATGTCTTTTTTTTCGCTCATATCTGTTATATATAGCACAAAAAGATTTTACCATGTGCATGCTACGCAAATTTTTTTTAATCACGTGTATTTCTTTTAAGTCGACAAGATTATAGCTAAAAAAAATAAGAAATTCTCTTTTGAAGTTATAAATAATCGTTCACCTAAAAAAATAGTAAGTAAAATAAAGAACATCGCTATAAGATATAATTTTTTATAAATGTCAAGATTATAACTTATATTTTCAATTCAAATATGAAAAATAAACTATGACACATATTTCTTTTTCATAAGCACGAATGTTTGTACTATTATTACTTTAAAAAAACGTTTAGAACATCCAAAATTCAGTCAAAAAAATCACGAAACTTAACAGAAATACCTTCTTGTTAAAAATTGGAAATGGTTAGAGTATCAAAATAGATGAACTTTATTGATATTTTGTAAATAGTATACACATCAGACATGCCCAAAATCAATATGTCCGATTTATGGTCAATTGGAGTCAAGTCAAAAATCAATTCTGGATTGGTTCAATCGGACAATGACAAAAATTGTCTGTAGAAATCATTTCAAATAGAATAATAGATATCATTCTTATAAGAACAATCTAAAAAATTGTTTCAAAAGGATGATACATCATCATTCAATAAGAACAATTAAAAAAATATTCTAAAGGGATGATAAAATATCATTCAATAAGAACGATTAAAGGAAAAATTGTCATTTTGATCATTGTTCTTATTGAACAATCAAAAAATTATTCCAAAAGAATGATCAAAAAGTTTATTTAAATTACCATCATTACATAATGCTATATAATTTTCATTTTTTATTAACTAAAGAATCTGTTAAAAGAATTAAACAATTTGATATCTGTTTTGCTCTTGTAAATATCAAATCAGATTTAGTTTTTTTAATACCAATTAATAAAGTTGTCATGATTTTTATTTAAATTTTTAAAAAAATTGAATTTTTAAAAAAAAAAAAAAAACTAAAAAATCATAATGTTAATTTATAAAAAAATTAAAAATTGATGATTTTCAATTTCTCTTAGAGAATCACAAGTTCTCATAGAGAATTCGCTAAAATAACAAATTTTTTTAAAGAATCATCAAATTTGGTGGGTTCCTATAGAAAATCTACCAAAATAACAAATTCTCTTAAAGAATCATTATTTTTAATAGATTTTCAATGAATTCACTAAAATAATAAATTCTCATCAAATTTGATAGAATTTTGAAGGTAAGTGATTGGATTTTTATCAGTGATGGATAGTAAATTTTTTCTTTCTTTTCTTTCTTATAATTATTTTTTTAGGATTTTTTTTCTTTTTTTTCTTTCTTATAGTTATTTTTTTAGGGTTTTTTTTTTTTTAATTCTAAGTTACTTTTGATTTCAAAGAGTGATTATTTTATTTATTTTTTTTAGAATTGATTTTTTTTCTTTTTTAAGTCTTAAGGTAATATTTGTGAGGTTTTTTTTTTTTTTTAATTTTTTAATTTTAATTTTTTTTTAGAATTAAACCTTTTCTTTAGATCCTAAGGTAATATTTGGATTTGAAGAATGGTAAAATGATTTTTTAATTTTTAATTTTTTTTTTTTTAATATCAATCTTTCTCTTTTTAGATTTTTCTGGATTTTTTATTTTTTATTTTTTTTATAAATTTATTATTTTTTTCTTTTTTAATTTTTTTTTTTAATTTTTTTTTTTTAGAATCAAACTTTCGCTTCAGATCTAATTAATATTTTGATTTAGTATTTCTTTTGAGAGTTATAGGGTATTTTTTTATTTTAATTTTTTTAATTTTTAATTTATTTTAGAATTGATTTTTTATTGAATTTAAGATAAGTTGTGATTTTTTTTACATAATTTAAATTTATTTTTTTATTATAAAGTAAAATAAAATTTGTTTTATTTTTAACATAAAGTGAGATAAACTTTGTTTTTGTATTTTTGTTTGTTAATACAAAGTGAGATAAAACTGTTTTTTTTGTTTACATATAATTTTAATCAGATGTTATAAATACAAATATAATGTCAGAATTAAATTGATTTTTATTTTTTAGGTAATCATAATAATATTAATTTAATATCTATTGTTAATTGTAATTATCAATTATACTTTATATAGTTATTAGTTAATTTATTATAAATTAATTATTAAATATATCACATCCTAAATTATAATTATAAAAATGATTTATTTCTAAAATTTTTATTTCTTTTATTTTTTTTTCTCATAATTAAATACATTACTTAAATAAAAATAGTAAGTTAAATAATAATTATTTTTATTTTTATTATTATTAATCAATTTTAATTGATCTAATGATCTAAAGTATTTTATGATCAAATTATTTCTCTCATACAAGTTTTATTTCTATATATATAGATATAATTCAGTGAAATAAAACTGATTTTGTATTTATATTTCTTTTTTTTAATACAATTTATAGTGAGATAAAGCTATAATTTTGTATTAATTTATTGTATTTTTTTTTAAAAATTAAAATTCATCTGAAACAAATTAGTTTATAATCAACAATAATTAGATTTAAACAATAGAAACAATAGAAAATAATAGAAAGTCAAGTATAGATCAAATAAAACTAAGTTGTAATCTGTAATTTTTCTAATCAAATCAAATTTCAAAATTTTCTGTTACATTATTTCTTTTATATTTTATTTAATCAGTTTTCACTAATGGTTAAATAAATTTTAAATTTTAAATAAAGTAATATAAAAATTTTTTGATTAAATTAATCATCTCTCCTTTTTTTTCAAAACTTTTCTTTTTCTCAAAATTTTCTTTTAATTTTTTTATTAATATAAACCTAAAACTGATGTTTAAAAATATTTTGAGAAAAAAAAGAAAGAATAAAAAATTGGGTTGTGATCTAAGAAAATCAAGTTCTGAGAATTTTTTATCAAAATTGAGATTTTAATTGCATTTTAATTTTTATTATATTTAGACTAAAATGTAATAATATATAATTTGTCAAAAATTTCTCAGAATTTGATTTTCTTAGATCACAACCCAATTAATATTATTAAAGTTAAGTTATTATAACTGTTCTATACTTAAAAAATTAAAAAAAATTCACACCGTTTTTGCCTATTTTTTATTTTCAAAACTGGAATCGAAAATTGTTTTTAGTTTCCGATTAAAAATCGATTTTGATTTTTGAAACGATTCTAATCCTAATAGGGATATGTATCGTCAGAAGTCGTTTTCGAGCTAAAAGTATATAATTTCGACATTATATAGTTTCAACATTTTGCTTGTAAGGCATGCTTATCTCTAGATAAACCGGAATGATACCAATTGGAAGATCCCATATAGTTAATATACTGTATATATATAATATACCCGCGAGTTTTCAATCACTTTATTCACTACTGGACTGGAGTAGTGTTAAGAGTTGCAATTCTGACAAGAGATATCTGATTAAAAAGGGGATTTATAGAAGACATGGCTATCTATTAATTTCTTTAATAAATGATAGGAACAGGAGGCGGTAATACAAGGTACTATGATTGCACGATATAAATTTCATTGACTGCGCGTTGCAGCTAGTTTACTCTGAAATTTCTTTTTTAGTGTTGCTCACATATTCGAATTATCATATTTTAACTCGTTGTTGTTTAATTTATGGGGAGATTTATATCTTATATATTAAAAGTATAAAAAAAAAATAATATATAAATTAAGATTGTAAGTTTTCTTTTCATAATCAATAACATGATTTAGTAGGCGAATAAAATTTGAAAAGAAACATTACAACGAATTGAATTTATTACATATAACTCCTTTTTTTTTTTTTGAAAACGCTTTGTAAATTTACCAAACGGGTCACGATCGGACAACGACTTTCATCTTACAAAGAATTCCACTGTTGTGGTAAATTAAGATTAAGCGTTTTACTGGATTAGATTGGCGTTTGTAGACCTTTTTTTTTTTAGATTTATTGTGTAATTAGTAATCAAGAATTTTGAGAAAGAAACTTGAAGAAAAATAATATAATCAAATTTACGTGTCTATGCCATTAATAAAGAACTTGTCGTTAAAAGTTGGATTAACTATTTGTAATTTTTGATTGTAATAAGAGATATTTCATATAAAAAGACAAATTTTTTTCTTAATAAGTACCAGAGTCATCATAGTCACAGCGTTGAACTATCCGCTAATTTTCCTTTTTCATTAAAGGTGATCGATAGTATTCATCTTACAAAATGTGGAAAGTGTAAACCTACTATAGTCATTGTATAATAATTTCATTTTCTCACGAAGAAATCTGTGACTAACGTGACTATATACACAGTAAAATGAGTGGCACTTCGGTGGAATTAGTACAACCTTAAAAATTATTGTTGTTACATATTTAAACTATTTTATTTTAGTATTTTTTAATAAATATAATATAAAATCCTTTGCAACAATTCTAGTAAAGGATAAAATTTTAAATAAAATTGGTAAAATAAATTTGGACAATTAACTATTACAATCGTAATTTATCAAAGGATTGGTAAGAGTCAGGTCGGTTTTCAGATAAACTCGAACCCGACTCAGGTCAACATTTACATAACCCGATCGAAATTTAATTCGAAGGTCGGCCCGAAATTTCATTAGAATTTTTTTTTTATTTTTTTTTGAATATATCGTATCGTACATTAATAAAATAGTGATAAAACTCTTTAATTAATGCAATATGAAAGTGTAAATCGTATACAAAATTTAAAAGCTTTATTTGGTTATGTTCTTTAATTTATTATTTTTTTTTTCTTTCATAACGTTTGATATGAATAATATAAAAAGAAAAGTAAATTTATTTACTTTGTACACGTACAAAAATTAAAATAGAAAAGACATGAGCACAGATTAAGATTAAACAAATGTTAGGATTAGAAAAAAAAATTTTATCAAATTTGTAAAGATTAAAGAATGAAATTATTATAATCCCTCCATTACAATTTCTTCATCAATATCCCCAATTATGGAAACACTTTTCCTTCTAGGAATAGAACTAACTGTACTTTCTCTCCATTTCCTCCCCCAAAAGTAAACAGCAATTAAACCTACAAAAGTTAATAGATTAATTCCAATCATGAGTGTCATCGTCCAACCAATACCTATAGAATCATCTAAAGGCGCAGCAAGGATAACCATAGTCGAAGAAACTATTGATCTAATAATGTTTTGTAATGCTATAACCGAAGCACTAGCGTCCGGAAGTGAATCAATTAAATAAGTTTCCAATGAATTCACCGCAATTTGTGACACAAAAGTTCCAATACCAGCGGAAGCTATAGGATAAGCGATGTCAAGAGCTCTTTCTAAACTCCAACCAAATAATAAATATGCAAAAGGCGTCAACGCGGCACCAAACCATGCCGCGTTAAGTCTTAATTCAGGGTAAAAAACTCCACCATATGATTCTATATTTCTGCTTAATTGGAAATCTGAGATTTTTCCACCAAAATAACTTCCAATGCTCATGCCAAGTCCGGGAGATAAGTATAACAACCCAATATCGGCCGCATTTAACCCATAAACTTGATTAAATTTTTTAGGTATTAGAATGTTTACTACATAATGAATCGCTACTATCCATATCCAATATAACACGACAAATGTTATATTCGGATATCGTAATAATAATATTGGAGAAAATGGATTAACAAATGATTTTTTATCCTTCTTATTTTCTAGTCTCGGATTATAAGTTTCTGGTAAAAAGAAGAACACAAGTAGGAACATCACAAAAGAGTATATTGCGACAAACCAAAAAAATGCTCTCCAACTTATATATTGTGTAAGGAACCCTCCTAGAGGTGGTCCAAAAAATGCTCCGCTAAAGAATATAAAGTTGAAAGTTCCAATGGCCCTCCCCCTCTCTGTTGGAATGTATATATCACTTAAAACGCCTGCCGCGAGACAATGTACCGAGGAAATTCCAAAAGATTGAAATAATCGAAAAAACATCAGCCAATAAATGCTGCTTGAAAATCCGGTTACAAGACTTGATACCGCTACGATCATCATGGATAATAAATATACATTTCTTCTTGTTCCTCTTATATCTGAGTATGATGCCCAAAATAATGGCTATTAAAAAAAATTTTTTTTTTTAATTAATTAGTACGTAAAGAAAGATTGAATTCTATGAACTTCCTTACCGCAAACCCTCTCATATAATTATAAATGGCAACTATTTCAATGAAAAAATGTTTATAAATTTTTCGTCTTCATAATTTAAAATTTTTCCGTTATTAATTCGTGTCTTTTTTTTTATAATACCTGACGTGTTTACAAGAGTATGTGTGGTTTTTAAATCTTCTTTCACTTGCAAAATAGCCGGAAAAAACGCTCTATTTGAGATATTCACATTAAAATTATTATTTCCTACTTAAATGAGTTTTGAAAAACTTACGAAGCTCCCAAAGGTCCAAGCATGCCAATTAACGAAATGATTGCTAACGCGCATTTCTTGTTCCATTTTGACCAATTTTTTGAATCCTGTTCTGAGTTTATATTAGCTTCTTCTTTTGCTTCAGGGACTAAATCCATTAAAAATTCTTTAGCTTTTTAAAAAAAAATATAAATTATGATAATGTTCTTTTATATAATATACATTGATTAACAACGACTTCAGATGTGGCCGCGCAAATTTAATAACGATCTAGTCACTAAGCAGCCTCAATCTTATTTTCGATCAAAAGCATTCCATATAGTAGATATGAGCCTCCTTTTATTTATTATTTTTCGATGTTTGTAATTTTATGGCTTTCATAAAAGTTGAATATGGCTTGTTTTTATAACATCAACCAGCCTTAGCCGCAGTAACTCATAAATATTTCAATTATCTATATACTGTACCACAAGGATTGGTAGCACACGAGTATTTTATTGACATATCACAGCAAATAATAATAACATGGGTCATTCTAAGCCATGTTCTTTTTAGGAACAAAAAACGAAAAGAAATATGCCACTTGGCGTAACATAAATTCTCGTAACAAAGAATGATGTTAAATCCTTCGTTTTTGAGTTATAAGAATTTTGTCAGATGCAAGTTTCAAATCTCCAAACCGAAGGTATATTTTTTTTTGATGAATAACCTTTGTCATGCTGATTTTTGTTCGACGAATTTCATATTTAAATTTTTTTGATCGATATTAAGGTGGCATGTGGCGCTGCGGTGTTACCTGTTTTTTTTATTATCTTGGAAATTTTCTTCAAAATATCATTTTATTGGTAAAAATCTAATTCGCTATGTAAAATCGACTTATTATCTTTGATTTTAATTTTTAAAAATGTGTTTCCTTTCTCTATGAAAAAAGGGTTCGTTAAAGTTTCCTCAATTTCATTATTTACGACAATGAACTTTTTTAATCGAGAAATTATGATCCGTACCTCAGATGGAGCATGATTATGGTAAATCAGAAGATTAAAAAGAAAATGTTTAATTTTTTTTTATAGAACAACGAGGACATGTATCGTGCTACCTTAAAAATTCTGTCCTACGTAACAAAAGTCAACCTATTTTGTTGCATTTCACTCATCGTGAATCTGATTTAATTACATCATCATCACTGTCGTGTAACGATCTTTGACGCTATATAATTAGCCCGAAAAAATTTTTTTTTATTTTCATTTTTTTTTTTTTCACATCAAAATGGCAAGATCAAAAAAGAAGAGAAGAACTGGTAAAAATGTTTAGCATTGATTTTATAGTTAATCATAAAATAAAATTTTACCTAATCTTTTCATTTATTTCAGATTTATTAAATTTTACTAAAAAGAAACGTCGTGTTGACAAGGCCAAGTCTATCGAAAATGCAAGTCAACTTAATTTGCATTAGATATTCACAATGATTAATGATCGCTAAAAAACAAAATTATTATTTTTCCTCCTTTTCCTGAAATAAATTGTTTATATATAATTCAAAGATTCGGGAAAGTTTATCTAAATATAGGTATATATGGAGGATCATACCCGAGGATATGAGAAATGAATATTTACAACAGATTCGATCAGATTGGAAAGATAAAGGGAGGTAAGTAATAATCTTAATGAAATACGCCTTTACTTTTAGTAATTAATCTTTATTATTATTTTTCTTTTGCGAAAAAAATAAAAGGTTATTCTTCACCAAGAAAACAATTATTATAAAAGCTTTAGGTAGCAATGAAAGTGATGAACAAGCTGAAAATGTATCACAATTTTCAAAAGTAAAACTTAATTTTAAATATTAATTTTATTTGTCAACAGTTTTATATTGTATATCAACTAACTAACGCATTAATAAAAAATAATATTGTTACTTTCGATCAAAGGAGTTGACTGGAGAAGGAGGGATTTTATTCACTGATGAGCCAGTGGATGCTGTTATTTCATATTTCTCAAAGACACAATTTGAAGATTATGCAAGAACCGGTGCATACATTGATAAAGATATAACTATTCCGGCTGGAAACTTGAAATATCATAACACTGATAATTACGTGGTAACTTTTCATGAAAAAATGCTAAAAAAATTGGGAATGCCTGTACGAATGGATCAAGGTTACCTGGTATTAGATCAGGATTATACTATTTGTAAATATGGTGATCGTCTTACAGCTGACCAAGCTCATATGCTGGTAAGTTAATTTATTTATTATTTTTTTTTTTATATAAAAAAATTACCGGTAAATTCTCTGCTTACTTTTTTCTATTATACAGAAAATATTATTGTTCAAGCTTTCTGTATTTAAGTTAATACCTACTCATTATTATGACAAAATAATGAATAAAGTGATTGGTAAGGTTTCGAACGATTTAGAGGAATTAGTCGAATGAAAACAAAATTTCGGGTTAGTGAATTAAAAAAAATATTATACTGTAGTATGTAATTTACTTTCTAATAAACAGTTATTACCACGATCTTTTTTCAATTAATTTTAATAATTTTCTCATAATTTTCACGTGATTAATGACCATAAAGACGTAATTTAAGAAAAATTTACTATAAACAAAGTATTTTGTTATTTCCTTTATTAAGGCACTATTCCTTCAAGTGAAACGATTATATTTAGTGTTTTGAATCTTAATAAGTCTATATCAATGAATCGTTCATGATATACGGTCTTATTTGAGCTATATCTAAATTCTTGTTCAATTTCCAACTCACTTTTTTCAATTAATGTAAATATAATTATTTAAAGAAAAAAAAAATTAACGAGTAGAATTTGAGATTTTAATTTTTCTGGTTGGCTCAATTGCTTTAATTAGTTTAATGTTAGAATTTGCTGTTCAGCTGTCAAAATTGCATTTAACGTTGTAATTAATATAAGCACATAAATTGAAATTTTGGAAGTTAATATTATTTAATTATGTTCCTAATATAAAATAAATAAAAAAAACCTTTGTTTTTTGTGAAAATCAGACTCATTAAGAAATATGTTTTTATATTTATGCACTTTGGGTTGTTAATCTAAGAATGCTCCATTGATTTGTAATTATACCCTCACGAACATCAACGATACCAATCCACACATCGAGTCTCCCTTTTCATTCCGGTATAATTTGCTGAATTTTTATTCTCGTGATGAACTGCGAATTCCATTTTCCATATGATTATTTATAAATTTGAAACCACAATCATTAAAACTTGCTTCATCGTGAAATTTCGCGATTGTCGTTATTCTGGCCAACAATCATTTTTCCGAAAAACATTTCATTACTTTTTATACCAGGAATAAATTATCGGACCCCAAGAATTCTTAGTTAACATCTCATGTGATATAAAGACACTTGGAGAAAATCGAAAACGTCTCACTATACTTACTGTACATGTCTCGAAAATTAATAGCAGATCAGTCATTGAATGATCTGACTTTTCTAATAAAGCTTTTTTTCCAGGATCTCTAGTAGAAAGATTTCGAGAGCTCTCCCAAATCAGTAGTATCAAAACACTAAAGTCATGATATTATTTTTAAAATGGTTGGAGGACCATTCAAGCGTGAATTTGTGGACATAATTTGAGCCAATAATGTAAATGTAATCACGAAAGCACCACCACAAAATGTAACAAAATTAATGAATCAATTTGATATATTAAAATCCAATCCATCGATAATTAAAAAAATCATGGCGATACGATCATATATTTTGGAAAACTACCGTACTATACTGGTTTTTTTATTGTTTTTTAATTTTAAATTTTTTTTTTTTCCCTTAAACGCAAATATTTTTTTTATTAAATCATTGACCAGCCCAAAAATCCTTACCCGGTTAAATTTAACTCGGACTATAAATTTGGGCAAAACTAGCGAAATTTTATAAACACAAAAAATTTTAATTCTGCCCGAAAATGAAATTTTGGCCAGAGTTAAAATTAAAAAATCTTTACCCGATTACGTATCAACTGGTTAATTACCAGTTAAAAATTAACCATTTCCAACCTTTTAATATGGTCGTATCATATAACCAGTACTAGGGATGTTAAAAAGTCGTATAGGACCAGGTCCTAAACAGTCCTATGAAGTCCTTTAATTCATATAAGTTGTATAAGCTTTTTTAAGAATAAATTATTATATTTTTTTATGTTATGTTTACACAATACTTTCGTCTTATTTAAATCAAAACTCAATTTGATTATAAAATAAATTTTTATTACTTTCTGTGTGTTCCTGTCCAGTTCAAAGTCTATATAATTGGGACTTGCAGTCCTCGTACTGCGGCCCTATATAAAGTAGACTTGCGGTCCTAGAAACTAACAAATTAAGGTCAAAGATGTATCGTTCTATTAGAACGATGACCTTGGTCATGTTTAATTTATAATTTAAACAAGGTCATTTAAGGTCATTTCAAAGTCATTTATCAACGGTATGATTTCATATGGTAATGCCTTTATACTTCATTTGTTAATAAAAGATACTCCGATGCTCCAAATCATACGATATATATAAATATAAATGTTATGGTGCAATGAGTTATATCATGCTCTCTAGAACGTGTTGTTTAAATAAACACGAAAGCTTATACAAAGTATCATAATAAAAAATATTCTTGGCCCACTTTCTAATATTCGCCCTTAACAACCTCAAGCTCTAGAATTTAGCGTCTATTAATCATCTACTACATATAAAGCGTTACACAAATATTCGGAAGAGTTTGTAATCAAATCAAAAGGACTCCCCGTTTGTTTTTAGATATTTCTATAATAAATCAAATTACCGAATTTGTTATTTGAACACGAGTACGTGCATAACGGTGACATATAAGTGACGTGAAATAAGTGACAGTAAATTGTCTGTCGCCAAACATAATAAATTATCTCATATTCTTTCAATAAAAATATTTTCTCTCTCGATTTTTTTATTCTTTTACTCGAAAGAGACTCTTTGCCACGCCAAAATTTTCGTGACTGTTAAACTAGTTTATGATTCCCAGAAAAAAAAGTAAGTAGCGCAAACGTTAATAACTGGTCTTTGCATCACTAACCTGTTTTAGAATCAATAAAAAGTTTCTCTACATGGCTAAACAATCCACCAAAAAAATGGATGAAACAACTTTCGAAGGATTTTCTAAGGCCATACAGGTAACCTATATAAATTTAGATTTAGCAAACAGAACATTCTTTAATAAGCCTATTCCCGTAGAAGCCAACCGTATGGACCCGCGGGCACTTACCCACCGATACTAATCGTAACGTTTTGGGACGCAATCTGCCTCCTTTACACACACTATATCAACCTCCCTACCAGGAAAGCGTCTCTCGAGAAGCAGGTGATATTTCTTACTCAAAAGTTGGAACTTCTGCGCAATTGGATAAAGAAGAAGGAATTGAGGAAAACATTTCGTCCATCCACGATAAATCTGTCATATTCGATTCAAAACAACAAATTGACGAGATTTATGATTTGGGCGTCAGTTCGATTAACGCCAAAACCGCCAGTAATAACACGTCGAATGGCAGTCAAAGATTTACAAAGGGAAGTAGCAACTTCGAGGGTGGAACAGATGCAAATATTCAGATGGGTGAGTTCTGCCCTAACAGAGAACACTTCAAAAAAACGTACCCATCCTTTGGGCAATTGCTCAGAATCTATCCCATGGGAAGCGTTGCAAGGACCGAATGTAAATTTGTACACCCACACGATAAAAGTAAAGAATGCGAAAGTCGTGAGTCCATGCTTCAAATGTCAAAAGGTGATGGAATCGATGCATTTCTTTCTGTCAACAAAAATTCACGAAAATCACCTATGGTAATTGAAAAGATCACCCAGGAAACAGATCGTCAACAAATCGCAACCATGCTTCGACTTGAATTCGACAAAAAATCAAAAGTTGACTGTTATGATCTGGAAGAAATTCTTGAGTTTGGTTTTACTCACGTCATATTTGTTGGATTTCATGAATACGAACCAGTTTTCTTCGACTGTTACGGTCGCATCTTTAAGATGGACGATATGACTGGTGTATTGTGGAAACTTGGAAATTCCTTGGAAGAGGCAGCAATGAATCCTTTGTCTCAGATACCAGCATGGATTGTTGAGGAAGATGGGACGATTGATGATTCTGAATTTGGTAAGTATGTAAATCCTGATTCTTCTTTTCCTTCATTGTGTATAACTAATTTTCTCTATTCTAAATAATGAAGTTGAAAGAAATATTGTTAAATGCAATGTTTATGAAGACCAAAAAAAACCGAAAGTCGTCAAAACCCAGAAGAATGTCCATAAAAAAGGGGGAAAAACAAAGAAAAGCAAAAAAAATAGTACAATTTTTTGATTTCTTTTTATTTTCGTAGTAGAAGTTTAACACTATTTTTTAAATAATTTAATTTTTCTTACTTTGCTTTTTAACGATTTATGTAAACAACACATTTTTTTATTCTTTTAACTTGCATCTTAAAGCTACACAAAAACACAATTTTTTAGTAGAAGACAGGACATGAAAATAATTATAATTAATTTGATGAAAATAAATATCTGAAAAAATTATGAACTTCATTGAGAAGGGAAAAAACAATTTTACTTTCATATTCCAAATATGATTTTCAGGCCGAAATATGTTCAAATTTATCATTAGCTTATTTTTTTTTCAGCAGTTTCCTTTCTCCTTTTCTATTGCAAAGGTCCCATATGTATTAGTTATTTGATGGAGGGTTAGAATATCACTGAATTGCGAAACAGTTCAGATGATATTTTAACGCCCTATCAAATAACTATATTATTCTGCAGTCGCATATGAAATAATTATTATATTAATTATGTTTAGTATAATATCAATAATAAATTATAGAAATTTATTATGTATCACTACTGGTGTTCACCACCAGTATCACGTGTTTTTATGTTTATATTAAATGTGTTATTTGTCCTGTGTCACGCCTCCCTGTTTTATGTATTATAGGGACTTGGAATTTTTTCATTGCTAAAAAAATATTTGTTTCACCTCCTCTTAAATTTACTCAGTCACATGAGGTAATAAAAAACATCAATTACTATTGGTTGATTTAACACTGATACTGATTATCAGCAATGATAAATAGCAAACTTCATAATTATACAATATAGTTTTTTTTATAGCTTAATCCTATTTGACTAAAGGATAATAGTAACTTATTTGCATTCAATATCTATATTATCATATGGCTCATAAGATCATACTTTATAAAAAAAAAGTTTATTGAATCCTTAGCTTATTATTAATTTTTTTCTTAATTTCTATACGTCTTTAACATTTAATTTACTTAAACAAATATGCCATTTGAAATAATAGCATTTATAAAAAAAAAAAAAGTCTTTTTATATTATTAATTTCTAAATCACTAGAAAATATAAAGCAAAATTTTAGTTAAATTTATTATTCTGCTTATTTATTACCTTAAGTAAAATAAAATATAATACATTTTTTAATATGGATGATTTCTAATTTTTATAAATAATTATAATAAGTTTTAAAGTAAAGCTATTTCATTTTTCAAATGAGTTAATTTCTATAAAAAATAAATAGCTTTTGTAAACTGTTACAATATATCAATACTAATTATAAATCTTAGTAATTAATATTTTTAGTATTTTTTTTTTTATAGTAAAATCTAGAAAAAGCTAGATATTAATATATAAAAAAAGTATATTTTTTTATTGTATAATTAACTATAAAATTCAATATTGAATACAAATAAGCTATTAATATTCAATATTATATAATGATTAACTATTGATGCTAAATATTATATAATATATAAAAATATTAGTCAAATAAGTTTAATATGATACTATAGGTCTGTATGATAATATATAGTTATTCGTAAAGTTGGTAAAGTTTAAAAAGTCCTAATTAATCTTGATTAATTTTAAAAAAAATTATTAGTTTTAAAGATTAATTTTTTTTAAATATTATTATTATTAATTAATTTTTAAATTAAAATTACTTATTAAAATTAATTTAAATTTAATATCTTTAAATATTAAAATAAAGTTTTAAATTAAATATATTTATAATTTTTAAAATTTTCTTTATTTTAAATTAGTAAAAATAAAAAAAAATTATTTATAATAATAATTAAAAAGATAAATTTATTATGAAAAATATAAATAAAATTATTAAATTTATTTAGACTAATTAGAATTTTTTAGGATTTTATCAACCCTAATTATTAAATATAGACTATATTAGCCTATTTGCTAATATTTAACCAATAACTATATATTATAGTTTATTATAGCATAATAATATAATAAAAACATATATTAATTTTCATATTAATTAGTATTCCATAAATTTCACAAGAAAAAAAATAAATAGTTAATAATACATTGTAATAGTTTATATAAAATATTTAACTTTTGTATAATTAATTTATTTGAAAAAAAAAGAGATAACTTTAAAAAAAACTTATCATAACAGTTGGTATTATAAAAAATTGAAAATAATTCATGTAAAAAAAATGAGCATTATTTAATATAAGATAATCTTATAAGAAATCTAAATAAGAAAATAATATATTTTTTATAAGATTTGTATACATATTTAATAATTCCGAATTACTATTTTATAATAATTTAATTTTTAGAAAATTAATGTATACAGAATTATTAAGAAATTTGAAATAGCATAAATTTTACATAAAATAAAATAATGAAAATAATAATATTATATATCCAATTGAATTTTTTTAATGTCAATACTTTTCTATATTAAGAATTAAATTTTATAAAATAATAAATTCTCCTTAAATTCTTTATCAATCTTAATAAAAATAATATAATGCTAATAAAAACTTATTGTATTTATGATATTATTAATAAAATTAGCTAACCAAAAATTTCTTTTTTAAAAAAGTAATTTTTCATCATTTTTACAATTATGCTAAATTTATATAATAAAAATATATAAAGATATTAAGTAAACTGGTTTAAAGGCATGTCATCAATCAGCTGATTAGGTGGAAATAAAGGTATCTACAATCAGATATTATGATTATACTTAGCATAGTAATTATTTTAATTAAGTATATAAGTTGTAACAATACAAAATTTTGGCTAAAATCAGCTTACAAATCCAATTTTAATTAAATGTCCTTATTTATTATTTTGTCAATTCTAATGTTAACTTTATATCCTAAGATAATCGATGTAAAACATTGTAGATCCAAATGTCAATTTATTTCCAGTATAACAGACAACTTTATTAATATGATCATCCTTGCTGATCAATTTTGTTAACTTTATTTCCTTGACAATGTCATTTATTTTTCATAGATATATTTAGTTTAGTTTATTTTATAATTATCAAACATGTATAAATATCACTGTATTTTTATTAAGTCTCGATACATTACAAGGTAGAGAACTTACAATTTATTATATTATTAATAAAGTGTATAATTAACCAAGTTAAAACTTATCCTTTGCAACCCTTTAACTTATATATATTATTATTATTTATTAACTTTGTGTAGTATTGTATTGATTCGTTGTATTGACTTAAGGTGTTGTTACTGAAACGTAATCTCTGAAATATCTAGAAGTTACTAGTGTATAATTGAGAATAATCTTTAACGTTTACTATGAATCTTCATTGTAATTCCCTGAGTTTAGTCTAAGTATTATTAATTTTTATGAATTTTATTTGAGTTACAAATCAGACGTAACAATAGTCAATCAAATTAATGCTACTAAAATCAATCAAATTAATGTATAAATAATGAAATGATTGATATAAATTGATTGCCTAAAATGGTAATAAAATTGATTTACAAAATAGATCATAGTTTACTTAATTCATTTTATCTATTTTATTTATTTATTTTATTGTATTTATTGTATTTATTTTTTTATTATCTTATTTTTCTGTATTTTCTTTATTTAAATTATTATAATGATGTATAAAATAGTTTTTATATAAATAGAAGCAATTTAGAATTAAGTAGTGATAGGTTTCATAAGTTTCTTTAAGTTTGTTTAATGTATCAATTCTTAATAAATAAACTGTTTAGTATAAACATATTGATAGAGTTAATACTATAATTTTGTTTGTTAATCATTTATCCTACATGCATTTATCATATTTCTATCACAATTATAAATCTTTAATTATATTTTCATTTTCTTTACGAAGGAAACCTTCTGCACTTGTACATATATCGCTTATTTAAATCAAGCGATTCAAAGAACTGGTATAACAATTGGAATGAGATCAAAAAAAATATTTTTTTTATTTTTATTTTTTATTTATATATATATTTTTTTAAAAATAAATAAATAAATAAATATATTTATTTTTACTTTTAATGAAATTAATATTATTATTTTTCTTATAAATTTACTTTAATTCTTATAAAATTATTAATATTAATAAACTAAATTTTATATTCTCTATCTATTTAAAATATATTTGTTATTATTTATATTATAAATCATATAAATCTATCAATTCTAATGATTTTAAAAAATTGATAACTACTAAAAATATTTAAAATATATTTATTTATAATTATCTATATTATAATTAAATTTATATATATATACAAACATATAATCTTATTTATTATGCTGTATTTATATATAATATAATATTCTATTTCATCATATATTTCCTTAATTTTTAAGTATTCGAAAAGCACTATAGTTATATATAAAATCGAAATAAAAAACTCAAAAGTTGAAATATTTTAACTTTAGAAATTAAAATTAAAATAAAAGTCATAATAGTCAAAATAATATCATATTATATGATTTTTCATATACAAAAAATATCTAAAAGATAATAAAAATATACAATCTCGATCAATATTATTCTGTTTTTTATAAAGCAAATATCATTTGATTCCTTGTGATTAAATAGATCTAATGAATTAGTTATTATTAATTTTGATTAACTAATCTTAAGATAATAGCAATTATATTTCTAAAATCTAGATTTTTTTATTTAAAGTAAAATTTATTAAATTATAATTTCAATTATAATTTAATCACGTAATATAGCTCATTGGATCCGTCTAGTTATAAGAAATTGAATAGTAGTCTTTTTATGAGAAACTAAGCGATATTGATTGAGATCATACATTTTTTGTTTTTTTTAAATTGTTTATATATGAAAAATCATGCGATATGATATTATTTTGACTATCTTAACTTTATGTATA